GTTTTTTATATATTATTTATATATATATATATATATATATTATTTTATTTTTTTTTTTTATTTTTTTTATAGTTTAGTGTTAATGAAAGAGTGGCCTGTACTATAAATTCTACGATTTTTCATATACAATTTTTTTTCCCTGCTTCTATTATACATCTATGGGATGTATAATATTGTATGCATATAAGTTAGTGTTTTTGTGCTGAGTATGTAGAGTAGCATATAGTGTTTTTATTTTTTTTTTTATATATATTTTATATATATATTTTTTTTTTTTTTTAATATAAAATATATTGTTTTTGAGTACGTATGTGTATATATAAATATAAAATATATAAAGTATTTATTTTTGTGTTTTTATATGTTTTTATATATATTATATATATATATATATATATATATATATATATATATATATATATATTTGCTGCTGGGTATGTAGAGCAGTATTTAGTGGTTTTTATAATATATATATATTTTTTATTATCTGCACAGAATAATAATACTAATACTTCTTATTAATATATATGTATTAATTATTCTTAATATATTAATATTTTTTTAGTATTAGGATTAATGTTCTGTGCAGATATTCAGCTAAGCAGAGAAGTATACATCTATGGGATGTATAATATTGTATGCATATAATGAAGTGTTTTCTTGTGCTGAGCATGCAAAGTAGTATATAGTGATATATATATATATAAAATATTATGTGATATAGTACTATATACAACTCTACTTGCTCATCACCAGAACACTTCATTATATTCATACAATACTATACATCCCATAGGTTCTGTTTTTGCAGAAACAGGTCTTACAATAAAACTGTGAAAATGATGTATTTTTCGATGTTCTTATAATTTGTAATATCGTAATTTAAAAGCATTTCCTTAGAAGCTATGTACATGGTGATAAGGTGTGTAGTATTTGGTAAAATGCATAAAAATATATCACACGCTAGAGATAGGATTATTAAAAGCAGCAGAAACAAAGGAAGGTATTGGCTTGTGTTCCACAGCTGGAGAACTTTGACCCTCAGATGTAGTCAAACATCGTGGCACTTTGATCTAAGGATGCCAATCACATTATAGCAGGTCAAGATGTGACTATATCTTCAGCAAATTTGATGTAAACACATACAGGCTTATCCGGGAAATGGGATAGTTTCAAGTACAGTATAATAACAACTTCTCACCCAAGCATATATCTTTGTCCTGACTGCTTTAAACTAATAAAATGTAAAATGCAATCTTATATTTTCAAAAAAGTCCAAAAAAAGTCAAGAAATGAACATAAAAAAGTCAAGAAATGAACATAAAACTTTTGTCAGACTGTCCCATAGACAGTATTGATAGCATTCCTCCTATATAGACTCCTATATTGTAAAAAAAAGCTTACCCAAACTACTTAATAAAACTAAAATGCATGTTATTGAAGTAGAACTACAGTTCATTTACATAACGGGCAGCTAGATGGTGAGCACTTTTGCCTGGCAGTACTAGGATCATCAGTTTGAATCCCAACCATGGCACCACCTGCCTGGAGTTTGTACTCCGGTTTCCTCGCACACTCCAAAAACATGCTGGTTGGTTAATTGGTTCCTGTCTAAAGTTGCCCTAGTATGTGTATGTATGAGTGTGAGTTAGGGACCTTAGATTGTACGCCCATTGAGGGTTAGGGACTGATGTGAATGTACTATATATATATGTACATTGACAGTGCTATATAAACACCCATACTAAATAATGACGACTCTGAATTTCTCTCTAAAGACCAGATTAAAAGATCAATGTACTAATGAATAGTGGATCATAAATGATAAGTTCAATATTTGAGGCTCAGTGAAGTCATTTAGGGTATGCTGATTTTTCATGTCCTAGAAGATCACCAGGGTAGCTCTAGGTCAGAGAGACAGGTGCTGGTTTTGTTCATAACACAGCAGCTGTGTGTACAGTGAGCTGTCAGACTAAGCGCTAGAAATACACATCCACTGCTGACAGACCAGACTGACTGGCAGTGCAATCAGCAACACATTACTTTGGCAGCATAAAGTTAATATGCATTTCCAATATCACACTGAACCTGATACAACAGATCTGTCCTGGGTACGTCATGATATAGATTAACTATACGTTTATTGAGTTAAATTTCTAAATATACAACAGGATCTGTAACAGTAAAACTGCAGAGGGAATCACAAATCCTTACTGCAAAAAAGAATCATCAGAAGATAAAGTGTGGTATATGATTTTTTTTAAAGCAGTAAACTTTATTGTCAAAGAAAACCTGAACTGTGAGAAATTAGGTCATTACTGATCAACTCCAAGCAACTGGTTTTGATATGCGTTCTTATTCTGGGCAAGTGATTGAAAATGTATTGAAGGTATTGTATCAGTATGTCAGCCAGGCAAAGAACCATTTCAGAAGGAGAGGTCAGCAATGGCAGCTTACATATTCCTTCATTATAGGTAAGATCTGTCAAATGAGAAACATGACCCAATGAAAATTCTAGTCGCCTGGCTGTCATGCTGACCCTGAGGAAATGTAAAAGTATGCAGATGAGGATTTATGTCTTGTTTGAGCTGCATACTTGTTCCAGATCATTGTTTGAAGCGAGAGGGTCACCATTACAGCGAGACAACTAGGTTTTCAGAAAGAGGTAAACATTTGTGGTCCCCACAGTTCTCAGGATGCCTGGTTTCAAGTGATTGTAAAGTTAAGACTTTTTAAAATAACAAACTTTTTTGCACAGAACAGCCCTGAACCGCCTCTTCTGGGGTCCCCTGCCAATGTTCTTGGCTCCTTCTCCCTTCTGAGTGCCCCCATAGCAAGCTGCTGGCTATGGGGGCACTCATGGAGGCTTGATCCCAAGCTGGCCTGTGTGCGTGTATTTACACAGACAGCGTGGCTTGGCTCTGCTGCCCGTTCTCTCCTTATTGGGATTTGATTGACAGCAACAGGCTACCTCCACAGCCTCTATGTCCAGTGAGGAGAGAATGAGAGGAAAGAGCCACTTCTCATGAGCACAGCGCTGAATTAAAATATGTCTCAGGTAAGTATGGGGGGGGGGGGGAGCTGACAATAGGTTTTTAACTTAATGCAGAGAATGCATATAAAAACCTAAAAGTGGTTCTAAAGACTAAACATTTTTTACCTTTCCCTGCATTAAGATAAAAAAATGTTTAGGTAATAGTATTGCCTTCTCACTCCCCTTTATATTTACTGGAACCCCACTCGATCCAGCGCTGTACCTGTCATGAGCGGCTCTCCCCACTCTAACAGGCTTTGCTGAGGCAGCAGGAGCCATTGGCTCCAGCTGCTGTCAGTCAAATCCTGTGACAAGGGGGTGGGGTGAAACGCACTGCCTGTGTCTATAGATGCAGGCAGCGTGGCTGGGGATCAAGTTCACAGGTGTGCCACAGAAGGAAGCGGCTTATTATGGTGGCACACCTAGAAGAGGAGGAGCCAGGAGCACTGGCTGGGGTCTCCAGAAGAGGAGGATCAGGCTGTTATGTGCAATCCTATTGCACAGAGCAGATACATAGAACATGCTTGTTATTTAAAAAAATGTATACTTTACAACCACTTTAAGCCTTTACACCCCGGTCATATCGATCCTGACTTTGAAATCGTGCGACTTCACTGTAAGTCGCACAATTTCAAAGTCAGGATGTCATTGCGATTTGAGGTGCGATTTGCAAGACATCTAACACAGATGTCTATGCAAATCGCAGCAAAAGTTGTGCATGTACTACTTTAGAAATCGGTGAGGCTCTGACCAAGTCGGAACTGCACCGTTATGACCGCTGTAATTGTGGACAATAGGGTGCACGTGGCATGCAATTTGCAAGTCGCATGGCATGTAAATCGCATGCCAAGTTGCACAGAGTGCGACTGGAGTCTTAGAACCACTTTATGGTGGTGGGGAGTCGGTAAATTGTAGCACTAACAAACAATCAATAAGAAATCATCTATTGCTGTCCACACTACTTTAAAGGCATGGAAACTAGTTAAACACATACATTCGCATAACTGGTCTTTAAAAATCTGTTAACTAATCCCCAATATGTGTTAATTGGTTACACCCAAAGGACTTCATTGTGTTAGCTAAGATGGATGAACAGTCGATTTATTTAACAACATAGCTCAAACAAAAGAAATAGATGCAAACTAAGCAAAATGCAATCTTGAATGAATAGGGTGATAAGAGTTCATTTCTGATTGGTTGCTAAGGATTACTGCACACTATCTCGCTGTGTCTGTAAATAAGCTCATTGATGTGACTCTGTTACTATGTGGTCTTTTCAAGCCAAGTAATGCTGGTCAGAACCCCATGATGTAATGTCTGGCAGCAACTAGATATGACTACCAAATTCACGATGACCTAAGAATTCAAAATTATAATGAGATGGCATGCTGCTTTGTTGACAGCCACCTCTGTGTTTAAATAAACAGTCAGAACTCAAAATTTGTATTTTGTTATATTAATAAAAATAAAGCGGCAGCTTTGATTACAGACAAAAAGAGGCTAAAGGAAATCATGAGGCAGATCACATGCAGCATACACTCCAGCAAAGTGGGATCATAGCCTTGTAATATATTATCTCAGCTTAGTTCGCACGCCATAGCAGTGGCTGCTCATATCTCGTGATGTTCTAGAGAGTTTCTGCTGCTAATGAACAAATCTCTCTGCCAATCAGAAGAATCGGTGAACTGAACATTTTTCTAAGTATACACGTATTGTAGACTCGTGTAATATATGGAGAATCATACAATTCATTAATCACGGCTGCCTGGATTCTTGAATTGTATGATTCTTTTCAGACAAGACAGGTCTACAGTCAGATATTCTGGTGATCACAAATTTCCATGACTTGATCATCACTAACGCAAAGGTAAGCACACACTTGGGGTTTATTTACTAAAGCTGGTTCACTCAGAATCGTGTATGTCTGCATCGTAACCAATCAGCTTCCAGGATCTATTGCTAAAGCTTAACCGTTTCAAGTCCGGACACTTTCACCCCCTTCCTGTCCAGGCTAATTTTCAACTTTCAGTGCTATCACACTTTGAATGACAATTGCGCGGTCATGCAACACTGTACCCATATGAATTTTTTAGCATTTTTTTTTAGACAGATAAAACTTTATTTTGGTATAAATGAAAAAGTCCAAACATTTTGAAAAAAGTGTTTTTCTTATAAAATTTTGCAAATAAATAATCTTTCATAAATCTTGGCCAAAATGTATTCAGCTAACTTTTAAGTAAAAAAACCAAAAATGAACCCAAATTAGTTTATAACCGTAATTTTTTTTTACATTTTTATTTTGTTTTTTTATATATATATATATATATTTTTTTTTTTTTTTTACTGCCACCCTAGCAGTACAGTGTCACCATAGTGACACTGTACTACTTGTGGGGGGGTTATGATTTTTTTTTTTTTTTTTTTACACTGATTGCTTTTACACCCCATAAAGGCTGTAAAAGCAATCATTTCTCCTTCTCTCTGGCTGCATTCTTGCAGCCATTGACAAATACTGTGTGAGCTATAAACTGCAATGCCACTGGAGATACCACTGAGTCGTTGTCTTGCTTTTTAATTGCCTGTGATGTAATCCTTTTACTAGCTATATACTTAAGTTTTGAAATTACCCCTCCAGCCATCTGTAAACCACCTTGAATCATATGATCAACACAAAGATAAATGTCTGCAGTGGCAAATACGCCCCCAAAAAATAAAGGAAAACTTTGTAGCCAGAGTATAGCATCAAGTCAATTAAACTCCTGGGATATTGATCTGGTCAGTTAAGTAGCAGAGGGGATTGTTAATCAGTTTCAGCTGCTTTGGTGTTAATGAAAGTAACAACAGGTGCACTAGCTGGGCAACAATGAGACGACCCCCAAAACAGGAATGGTTTTACAGGTGGAGGCCACTGACAATTTTTTCCCTACTCATCATTTCTGTTTTTCACTAGCTTTGCATTTGGCTAGGGTCAGTGTCACTATTGGTAGCATGAGGTGATACCTGGAGCCTACAGAGGTTGCACAGGCAGTCCAACTTCTCTAGGATGGCACATCAATATGTGCCATTGCCAGAAGGCTTGCTGTATCTCCCAGCACAATCTCAAGAGCATGGAGGAGATTCCAGGAGGCAGGCAGTTAGTCTAGGAGAGCTGGACAGTGCAGTAGAAGGTCCTTAACCCATCAGCAGGACCAAGAAACAGGATGAGCACTGCCAGAGCCCTACAAAATGGCCTTCAGCAGGCCACTGGTCTGAATGTCTCTGACCAAACAATCAGAAACAGACTTCATGACGGTGGCCTGAGGGCCCAACGTCCTTAAGTGAGCCCAGTGCTCACTGTCTGGCACCATAGAGCTCATTTGGCATTTGCCATTGAACACCAGAATTAGCAGGTTCGCCACTGGCGCCCTGTGCTTTTTACAGGTTCACCCTGAGCACATATGACAGATGTAAAAGGGTCTGGAGAAACTTTGAAAAACTTTATGTTGCCTGTAACATCATTCAGCATGACCGTTTTGGTGGTGGGTCAGTGATGGTCTGGGGAGGCATATCCATGGAGGGACGCACAGACCTTCTTCAGGCTAGACAATGACACCCTGACTGCCATTAGATATGGGGATGAAATCCTTGGACCCATTATCAGACCCTACGCTGGTGCAGTGGGTTGTAGGTTCCTGCTGGTGCACAACAATGCCCGGCCTAATGTGGTGAGAGTATGCAGGCAGTTCCTGGAGGATGAAGGAATTGATACCATTGAATGGCCCCCACGCTAACCTGACCTAAATTTAATAGCACACCTCTGGGATATCATGTTTCAGTCCATCCAAGGCCACCAGGTTGCACCTCAGACTGTGAAGGAGCTCAGTGATGCCTTGGTCGGTCCAGATCTGGGAGAAAATACCCCAGGGCACCATCCGTCATCTCATTAGGAGCATGCCCTGACGTTGTCAGGCATGCATACAAGCACGTGGGACCATACAAACTACTGAGTACCATTTTGAGTTGCTGCAATGAAATTTCAGCAAAATGGACTAGCCTGCTGCATAATTTTTTCACTTTGATTTTCGGGGTGTCTTTGAATTCAGTCCTCTGTAGGTTGATAATTTTCATTTCCATCAAGCGTTGGGGCATCCTTACGTTCCCAACGCATTACCCAGTCCATATCAGTATAGATATCCAGCATGATATCTTTCCCCATTGAGATCTGATGTGTTTTCAAAGTGTTCCTTTAATTTTTATTTAGCAGTGTAGATTACCTAGTTCTCTAGCAACAAATTCTAACGCAACATCTGTCCTTACCAGGAAATGTTTAACTCGTGATGTTTGTATAACACTATAGAGCTTCTCTATAGTCAAATTAGCTTTAAGCAATCTAGTATTCAGGCTGATATCGAATGTATTGTCCTGGATTGTCACATCTGTTGAACTAAATTTACAGTGGTCTCCAAAATGCAGCCCAGGGGCTGGATCTAACCCTTTGCTTGCGTTTATTTGGCCCTTGGGACACTATTCCTTCCACTGACACCAACGGTATGGCATTTTTCCTCCCTCTAATTCCAAAGATGGGTCACTGTTTACTGATACTGATGCCAGGATACTTTCTACTCTCACTGGCTACAGTCCAGTCCCCCTAAAGTCAGAAGGACAGTAAACTGGCACTTTGTTTAGAAAGTTTGGAGACCCCTGTACTAGATGCTATATGGGAAGTATGTTGGCCTAATGTTTAGCTGTGTGGCCTTTCATCACTGGGCTCCTGGGTTTCAGTTTCCACCAGAGACGCAGTGGGGTTTATGTACTAATGCTGGAGAGTGCAAAATCAGGTTCACTTCTGCATAGAAACCAATCAGCTTCCAGGTTTTACTGCCAAAGCTTAATTGAACAAGTTGAAGTTAGAAGCTGATTGGTTTCTATACGGAAGTGAACCTGATTTGCACTCTCCAGCTTTAGTAAATAAACCCCAGTCTTCTTGAAATCCGTTCGTTCTCCTTTCACTTTATGTGGGTTGTCTCTGAATATGTTGGTGCTACATAAATGAAGAAAAGAAATAGATGTATTCCTCAAGTGAACAAGCCAGGCATACTTAAGATGGTCCTTGTCCAGCAACTATAATGTTGATAAGTCCCCACAATAATCAAGCAGTGTACACAGAGGAATAGGTGTATCTGCACCAATGTGTGAGACATTCTACAGGTGTTCTACATCTGATATACACAAAACAGCAGTTGCAGTGAGCTGAGAAACTGTTATTAGTTTAATATGTGAAATAAAAAACAAAACAGTTGGGTACAGCAGCAATTCACTAGGTTTGGTCATATAATGCATGAGTGATTACAGACCCCTTTAGTATTGTAGACTAGCAATACTTCAAAAATAGAAGAAATAATTGTTTATAATGAATAAAATGTCTGGATTTGCTCCTATATCTAAATCTATATAATTTCTAGTAAGGAACATGCTTTATTACAGAACCACAAAAAATATCCAGCATCCACTATATTCATTCTTAAGATTTATATGCTGCAAATTTTATTGTTAATAGCTGGACTAAGTAATAGGAAATTGTAGGAATTCAATCAAATATAAACATTATCTCCTAGTCAAGCAGGGTTCAGTTTAAAGTTTCAGTTTCCTGCTAAATCCCACTCTGGGTGTGATCATGCTGAATATCAATCTAATATCTGCAGTTTTCAGACACAGAAAAGGGGGTAAGAGCTCTATATTTTATGCTGTTTATACTAAAGTGTTGGAAATTTGATTTAAAGGTATCAAAACCTCTAGTTCTCCATCGCTGATAGAGGCTGGTTAGAAGTAAAGAATGTGAACCTGTGTTTATTGTCAATAAATAAAATACTGTGCAATGTAAATTTAAAGTGATTACAAAGGCATTTTTTTTTTAAATAACAAACATCTCATACTTACATGGCATACTTACCTGCTTTGTGCAGTGATTTTGCACAGAACAGCCTTGATCCTCCTCTTCTCTGGTGCCCCGCTGGGGCTCATGGCTCCTCCTCTCTCCTTGCTATTGGGGCACCTGAGCAGAATTGCTCCTGAGCCGCTGCTCTTTGTGTCCATTCACACACAGCTGCAGCTTGGCCCCGCCCCCAGCTCTCTCATTGACTGCTGTGATTAACAGTAGAGGGAGCCAATGGCTCCCGCTGCTGTCTCAGCCAGTGAGGAGGGAGAGACCCAGGACAGCCAAGGCTCTTGTGCACATTGCTGGATTGAAATGGGGCTCAGGTAAGTATTAGGGGTAGCCTGCTGCACACATATGGTTTTTTTACCTTCATGCATAGAATGCATGAAGGTTAAAAAAAACACTGAGCCTTTACAACCACTTTAAGAAACATATTTTGCTTGTATGCGTGAATAATTAAAGTGAATGCTGTTTCATCTTATTTACTAAGCTCACTGAGCATATATTTTGGCCAACTCAACAGTATTTATCTCTATATTAGTCCCTATGACTAGAAGGTTGGCAGAAGTTTCCACATTGTGTCAGCCTGCTATAGAACACTGTGTATGCCTCAGGTGGGGCTGAACAAGCCAGGCATGCACTGAGATGCTCTTGTCCAATAACTATAATGTTGACAGGTCCCCACGATAATCAAGCAGTGTATGCAGAGGAATGGGTACAGTTTGTAAAAATATCTTCACCAAAGTATGAGACATTCCCCAACTGCTTAATGTTGGCTAACTCCACTTTAAATATTCACCTACTGTTGGAATTAGAATTCTAGCACAATATTAAGGCTGTACCCAAATATAAACTTACCTAAAATGGGTAATATATTCCTGCAAGAACATCCCTCTTCTTGTCTAGGTCCCAAATGATTAAAATAAAATAAACAAGCTCATCCCCTAGTACAAACAAATCCCAGATGACATATTCCTCAAGTGCCTTTTTTTGTGTGCTCATGTCATCCATAGCGTGCCAGACACCTTCAAAACATATTACCCTGTGTACAACACTAACAATCAGTCTATTAATTCATCAGGGATTTGTGATTATACCTGCAAAGGAGCAATATGTAGAAGCAGTGGCATGAAATGTTTTCACATTGCAAATTACATTGGACTATGATCTCACTGAGCAGTGAAGGTTATATTTATAATAAAAAAAAAAAAAAAAAAAAAAAAAAAATATATATATATATATATATATATATATATATATATATATATATATATATATATATATATATTAGTGGTGCACCGAAATGAAAATTCTGGTGCCGAAAACAAAAATTCAAAATGCTCTTGGTCGAAAACCGAAATGCAGTTTTTAAAAATG